TCTACAACCTTAATTTTGACAATGGCTCTTGACCAAGAGCGGGCAAGAGTTTCTTTGTTTATTTTAAAATCTATTGATTACAACTTTGATGCATGTAGATATAAAATTTCTAGTCTTCTGATTACATTTAAAAGGTACGTTTATTTATGACCTTGAATTCTACTTTAACAACCACTACCACGATTTACCTATTGGGACAAAGATTCTACCTCATCGCGACACAGATTCTAAGATTACAATTTACACAACTCGTGTATTGCATGGGCTGATCTTGGTAGGTATATTAGATACAGGCAAAATTGCATTGGGCTAAAAGAAACAATTACCCGAGGGGGGTCGACTTGAACAGATTATTGCCATAATGTATGTTTATTCTTAAATTATTGGTTTTTCACAGGGAAAGTACCTGAAGGAATTATTCTCTTTGGTGTATCTAGGGAGAGTTCCAATCGACTTTTGCCTTGTATTCATTTGGATAAGGTTTGGTATCCTGCTCTATCGTGAAGTGCGGAAGAAGTGGTTTTTATCTGCAACAAGGGTAAGTCACTTGTGGGGGAATAGAGCAGTTAAACATTCAACCGCTGTCTCGCAAAATAAGCGGAAGAAAATTGACACCTTCCTAGAAATCTGTAAAAGGAAACAAGGTATTAAACGGAAAAACATCTGAATCGCTGAATTGAACGATATCGCTCGGATCAAAGCTGGTTTGAATGGTTCAGCGATATATCGCGACTATCTTAATAAAAGTTCAAAGCCAAATTTTAACTAAAAGTAAAACCAACGAAACCGCCTAAAGCGCGAGAAAGCTCGGGCGACCAAGTCGTGGATGGGTTTAGCTTTGAATCTGATTGGTTGAGAAAACAGCGCAAGTTTTCTGGACCAATCACATAGCGAAGTGATGCATATTCAAAGCAATCTCGGATCACTTTCGACACTCGAGTAAAATTTCTTCAATATCCCCTGGTATATCATCGACAACTCACGATTTTCGCGACAATCGTCTGCAGTATCGTACACTGGCTGTAAAAGAGCTTTCGGAAGATGGAGATTGGCTAAGTAACTGTTTGCTCCCAAAGTTTACTTCATAAGTTGTGTGGGACCACGCTCAGATAAGTGCAACTGTCTTATGAGTTTTGCAGAGTAGCAAAATATCATAAATTTTTCTTTTCCAGAGTTGCGATGAAATCTGCGATACCCGTTTGGCTAGAGAGGCGGAGATCGCTCATATGGCGGAACTACTGAGTCCAGGATCAATTTGGTAAAGAGTTTAAATTGATAATTTGGCAAGGTTATTCAGTACATGCAAACTTGATTCAGAGTGCTGTAAAATGGGATTTTTTAACAGTAAGATTATTCGCTTGAGATCTCTATCACGTCACAGCCTATTAGGGGTGAAGCCTGAATCGGCAATCAAGCATAGAAATCTCAGGCAAATAAGATTATTTGCTTAATTTAAATCTGCTAGGCGTTAAGAACACGCCTGTGATTTTATTTTACATTCTTTACAGCCGCACTTGGTTAAGCTTTTCACTTTACTCACTACACATCACTGATTACTAAAAACTGGATCATTGGATAATGCAATTGAAGACTTTATTGGCTTAGCCATTATGGTCTATGAGCCAATATACTATAATCTAATATCTGTACATTTTATCATCGGGTTTCTTCTTACAAAATAAAGTCGAGAAGATTTGTCTAACATCTTGGAGGTGTTTTTTTTATTATTTTTTTTAATTTTTTTTTTTTTAATAAAACAATTATTCCCCTCGCGCTTGTTGGATATGAGATGATTGTAGCCAACGAGGCGCTACGTGCCTCGTTGGCTATCTTTCATCTTATATCC